GGGGTGGAGCTTTGGGCGGGGCCGATGCTGTGGGGTATAACCGCACACAGCCCTGCCAGAGGATAAAGTCCTGGTTCTGCTCTGTGTGGGTCCTCTCAGAGCAAGAAGACCATCACCATGGCCATGACCTTGGGTTACTGGGACATCAGAGGGGTGAGCAAGGGGTTCACAAGGGTGAACCAGGTCTCAGGGCGGATGGGATGGTGCAGCAAGGCAGGGAGAGGCTAATAAGGAGGCTCAGGTATACTGTAAGTTTCCTGCAGCTTGTCTCATCTCATTGCTTCTGTAGGAGAGAGAAGGTGTGTGTGTGTGTGTGTGTGTGTGTGTGTGTGTGTGTGTGTGTGCATAAAGGGGGCAGTTGGCTTGTGTCTCTGGGGGTTTACCTGCAGCAGAGAATTCAGTAAGAGCCCTTTCCTCCCCCCAACCCAATCTCTGACTTCTGTCCCTGCACCCCCCAGCTGGCTCACGCCATCCGCCTGCTCCTGGAATACACAGACTCCAAGTATGAGGAGAAGAAGTACAGCATGGGCGACGGTGAGCCCATGTGCTCTGCTTTCACTGCTCCTCTCCTGCAGCTTGGGTACCACGCACCCCTTTCCCTGCCACCTGTTCCCTCTCCTTCTCTAAGCCCCTTTGAGGTGCAGCTTGGCTTTCAAAGAAGAACCTGAGAGCGGATGTCTGGGTCCCTGAGCAGTAGCTGGGAGGGTCCCCAAAGGGCTTGTTCACCCCTGAGTGAACCTTCCTCATGTGATAACAGAACTTTCCTTTTTCCTAAATACAGTGTGAGACCTGCTTCAGATTCCAGTGGGTCTTGCCTGTACTGGTTTGTAGTTTCCTGAGAACAATATTGTGGCTTAGGGGAGGCTTGTTTACCTGTCTTCTCCCCCACAGCTCCTGACTATGAGAGAAGCCAGTGGCTGAATGAAAAGTTCAAGCTGGGCCTGGACTTCCCCAATGTAGGTGCAGGCTGGGGGGATGTGGGCAAAGAGCGGGTGTCTCCTCCCCTCCCTCTCCGCTAAGAGGCTTTGGGGCCAGTGTCTGCTGCTCCCTGGCTCTCTGCACCACCCCCTGATGCTCTGGGTTCAGCTCATTCACGGCTGGACACATGAATATGGTACCTAGTGTGGGCCAGGGGCTGTGGAGCCAGGATTCCTCTCATCCCTTAAAGAATTTGGGGGTGCAGGGGAGCTGGGGGCCCAACCACCTGCCTCTGACTCCTTTGCAGCTGCCCTACCTAATTGACGGGGCTCACAGGGTCACCCAGAGCAACGCCATCCTTCGCTACCTCGCCCGCAAGCACAACCTGTGTGAGTGGACGGGTGGGTGCCGGGCCAGGGCCATGTCTCTAGTGGGGTCCGGTGGCAGCCGAGGGTGAGCTGTGCTGTGTGGCTGCAGGTGGGGAGACAGAGGAGCAGAGGATTCGCATGGACATTCTGGAGAACCAGGTCATGGACAACCGCATACAGCTGATCAGGCTGAGCTATAGCCCTGACTTCGTGAGTCCCTTCTGGCTGCGCGGGGTTGGATAAAGACGCTAGATCTGGTGCTGCGTCTATACTGGCCCTGTTTACACCTGAATTCCTTAGAGTTACTGACCCTTATGGGGTTCCCTGTACACTATCGGGGGCATAACCCCATATGGCATTATGCGAAAACTGACAAGTTTCCTGTTTTCAAGAAGTCCCACATTCCCAGTGTTAAGTTCTCATCCTGGTTTTACCTTGATTGCCCAGCACTATCTCAGGGTGCTGGGCCACGATGGCAGCCAGACTGTCTCAGGGCCTCTTAGCTCTGTCTCCTTATCAGTCTCAGAGTCTCCCCAAACTGCCACATCTCTGCGGGTGTCCTCCCATTTTGCTGTCACCCACTGGTAGAATGTGTTACTCTCACTGTTCTTTGATTCTCTGTGTAGTTCAGAGTCTTCTTGCAGCTCCCCTGGGTGTGACCCATAGAGGGGGGACACAGTGGGGGGACAGGTGCTGCTGGTCTGCCTCCCCCTTGTTCACAGGTAGGGGGAGTCTCCATTTGCCTGAGAGGCTGGCCTGGGCCCCATCAGGCACAGTCGGGGTCCATGGCTGCTCCCCTGAGGGGGCAGGTGCCCCTCTGTCCAGGGGCCTGTGACTGAGGGGTGACAGCTGCTTTGTGCCTCAGGAGAAACTGAAGCCTGATTACCTGAAAGGAATCCCTGACATGGTGAAGCAGTACTCCCAGTTTCTGGGGAAGAAGTCTTGGTTTGCAGGGGACAAGGTAAGGGGGGCTCTGGAGGGCTGTGTGTGTGGGGGGGTCACGCCTCCAGATTCATGCATCCTCACCCTTCACTTGTGCAGATCACCTATGTGGATTTCTTGGCTTATGACTTCCTCGATGGACTGCGCATATTCGAGCCCAAGTGCCTGGAGGCATTCCCAGCCCTGAAGGAGTTCATGGCTCGATTTGAGGTGACTCCCTAGGTTCTCCTGCTCGCTCACCTCTTCATCCTGGTCTTTTCTTAGTCCTGGGCCCTAAGAAGAAAAACTAGTCTTTTGGGAGCACTTGCTAATGCCAGGATCTCATCATTATCTTACACGTTGTCATAGTTTATCCTGACTTTATTCCTACACGGTAGGAGAAACAGCACTTCTGTGTTACGGATAAGCAGCTGGAGGACACAGAGCAGGGCGGGCGGGCTGGGGTCTGGCCTCTGGCTTCCCTGGGCAGCAGCAGCCCTGTCCCTGTCCTGGCCCAGAGCAAAGCCTCAGGGCCCTTTCCAGGCCTCTGCTCAGCCCCCCACAGTGGGGGAGGCAGCTGGGGGTGGAGTGTGGCTGGAGCGGGAGAGTTGAGACCCCCTGGGGTGACAGGAGCTAGCAGAGACACAGACACTATTCAAGGTCCCTCTCCTGAGAGCTGGGCAGCGCCCCCACCATATCTGGGGGAGCACGGAGGGTCCCAGGAGTATAACTGGTGCTGGGGTTTAGGGATAAGTGTCAGTGCCCCGGAGGAAGGATTTACTTGCCTTCTCGTTGGTGTGATTTCTTTCCTCTGTATCTCCCTTTCTTTTCCTCTAATCATCCAGATTCTGTCTGAAAGATGGGGTGCACGTTTATGTTACTCATATGCATGGATCTGACCTCCTAGGAAGGGATCTGGGGGGGCCTGACAGGCCCAGTGGGGGATGCACAGGGGACCCTCTGGGTCCCACCCCTGGGCTAGTGCAGCTGGAGGATTTCAGAGACCAGATTGTAGGTGGGTGGGACCTGGGTGCCGGAGGAGCCCCGCCCCAACTCACTTCCCATGTCCTGTGAATTTTAACTGTTAATATTCTGCAGAGAAAAAAATCTACCTTATTACACATTCAGATTCTTGTCCATAGTGGTTTGGGCCTGCAGATGTATTTTTTTTCTTCCAGCAGAAGATCTTCTCTAGAAAGACTTACCAGCTCTGGTGCTGCCTCAGGCAGATCCTCTTTGGGGACTTTATAAGTTGGGGACCACTGAGGCAGGGAAGGGGGCTGGAGAGCTATCGCCTCTGCCTCTGGGTAGGAAGGTGCCAGGTTTTGAATCCTTTCGAACATGAACGCTCTCTGTCTCTGTCTCCCCCCAACCCACCTTCCCTCGCTCTCCTTCTCCTGATCCCAGTTCTCTGTTTTGGACAGTGTTTCCCAAACACCCCTGAGTCTGCCAAGTTGTCTGAGCAGAGCTGGGCGGAGGTGAAGTGGACACAGGAACCAGGCCAAGATTTTTTACTTTCTCCTCTCAGAGGAGTATTTGGCACTTTGCTGTGGGCTCCCTGCCCCACATCCGCCTGTCCACTCCCCCCTGTCTTTGCTGAGTCACGGGGCAAGATCTGGTCTCTTTTGCCAAATGTAGGGGCACAATCTGAGCCCCTTGTTCTGCTTGGGGGCATGGCTGTGGGCAACTCTGGAGAGCCAGGCTCCTCCTGTGAGGAGGGAGAGCAGAGAGGGCCCAGCACCGTGGAGGCGGGGAGCACTCCAGGCTGCTCACTCTCTAGCTGTGAGAGCTGCGGAAGCCGCTGCACCTGCATGTGCCTCAGTTTCCCTTTTGACAAATGGTGAGAGTAACACCTATCGGTGGGTTAACTGGTGGATTCTAAGCTGATGTCACGACGTCCGGCGGATTGAAAGCACTCAGCACTGTGCGGATTCTCCTTGAAGGGTAAGTCTTAGAGGTGTCAGAGTTACTGGTAATGAAGCATTTGTTCATAGATCCGGGGACCTCAGAAAGCCTGTGTTAAACCCCGACACTGGGCCCCAAGGAAGGACTGCACCGGGGCCCTAAACTCAGTGCTTTAGTTTTCTGTTCCGCGTGAACGAGCCGCAGACCTGACTGCCAGTTTTCCGCCCCCAGGGCCTGCCGAAGATGGCCGCCTACATGAAGTCCAGCCGCTACCTGCCTCGCCCCATGTTTTCCAAGGCGGCCGTGTGGGGAAACAAATAGACCCTCCAGGGCCAGGCGTGTGAGTGAGGAGCCAGTCTGTTCTTCCTGTGGTGGAACCTGGACTTCGCTGACCCACGGTCGCCCACCTTGATCTTTTCTCTCTTTATCTCTACCAGTATTACTCGGCGCCAGGCCAGCACTAGAGGGCCTTCCGCACCTGTTCTTCAGCAAAGTCCACTTCAACATTATCCTACAACAAAGCCCATCGGATTCTCCCTTCTGCGGTTGCTTCTGTTCTGGGGAGTAGCTGGAGCCCTGCAGAGCTCAGCTCTGAGCTCCCTGCTCTGCCCCAGGACCGGAGTTGGCCTGGTGTCCGGCCAGCTTCCCCCAGGGTGGGCCCGCCCAGCCTGCCTGATCCCCAGTAAAGGCTTAATCGCACCTGCTCTGTCTTGTCTGTTCCCTCCCTGCCTCCCGGGCTCTCCAGCTTCCCAGGCCCGACTGGGGAGCCTGGCAGTGGCTGGGGCACGGGGCTGCGGCTGGCAGGCGGCTGAGGCTGTTCCGGTCTGCCCCTCGCTGGGGCCCTCCTGACCCGCCTGTCTCCTTCATTCTCCCTCCCTGAGGCCCGTGGCTCTGCAGAGCTGTGTGTGTTAGTGTGGGCGACCAGAGGGGAGTCCCCACCCCAGAGGGAGAACCAGGACTCCCCCCTGTGCAGTGGGGCGCCTCATCACAGCTGTGGGTGTGCCTCCCCTCAGGGGCACCCAAGCCTCTCTCTATGCAGAAAATATCTATGCAGTGTTCACTCACCTAGTAGTCTGGTGGATAAAGAATTCTAGGGCGAAGATCTCAGATGCCGGATGGAATCACTAGAATTCAGTGGTGCTGGGGGCAAGGGTGATGGCATCTGACTTGACCCCTCAGTTGATGGGCTTTCCCCAAAACTCAAGAAGCTTACGGTAGCTGCCTTTGGAAAAGAGCATCCACCATTTCCTTCTTCCAGCCATGCTGTCAAGCTCTGGGGCTGTTCTGGGCTGGCTCGGTCTCAGTGTCGTCCGATCCGGGGCACTGTGCAGGGAGCTTGAAGGCTGCTTCCTGGCAGGCTGCCTCCCCCTGCACAGCTGTACCCCAGGACCAGGCTGCCTGGCCCTCACCCTCTTCTCTGCCCCTCTCATTGCCTGCTGGCAGGGCCAACCCTCAGGCACTCCCGTGCTCCCTGCAGAGGGGTCCTGGCCAGTTGCCTGCTGAGGCATGGGGTCTTCCTGCCAGCTGGAATGGCAGGCACGCAGTGTTTTCCAGGGGCAGCTCTTATGCCACGTCACAAATCAGGGCTCTCTCACTTGCCAACTGACTCTTTGGATACATCAGCCTTGCTTTGGGGTTGTCCTGTGCATGGCAGGGTATTTAACTGCACCCCCAACCTCCTGTCCCCTGGATGCCAGAAGCATTCCCGTTGTAACAATGAAAATGTCTCTATACATTGCCAGAGGTCGGTGAAGGAACATCTGGAGAAGAAACAGATAGAGTAGTGGGGACTAGAATTGCAAAACAATAAAATAAAAATAAGTCAGAGAGACTTATTTATTTTATTGTCCCCTGGGAGTGGGGGGCCAGGGGGAAAGAGCAGCAGCAACAACAGAATCTGGAAGGGAAGGGCTGGTCATAGCAGGACCTGCAGCATTCCAGAGGCTTCCTAGAGCTTTTCGGTTGCTCTGGTCAACAAGTAGCACCTCCGCACCCTTCCTGCCCACAGCCCAGGGCAATGACAGCAACTGACACTGGGAACAGAAAGCCAATGATGCATAGTATTGTCACATTCTTGAGAGTTACCATGATGCTGCTGAACTTAATCCACATAATGCCAGTGCTTGTAGCAAAGAAATCTCTTGAACTTAATCCACATAATGCGGTGCTCTGCTGAGAAAAGGGTGTGAATACTTTCAAAAGACAAGAAAGCTATGTTGCTGCTCTAGAAACTTTACAGGTACGTGTGCAGATTGTACGGTCTGGATTAAAAGGTGTAAAGGAGCTTAGAATGGAGAACGAGCCATATGAGGCAGACTTGGGCACAAACCAAGCGTGACTGGTGGCAAGACCACCCTCAGTGTGGTTCCACTTAGGAGGACAATGATGAAAATGTGGAATTTTCAGAAAAAGAGTTGATTGCCGTGGTGAAACTGCTTTCTGAAGAGGATGGCAATTTGAAATGGAGGCTTCATTCTGTAATGCCAAATCAGCAGATCAGAACACATTTGTTACTTGCAACAAAGACTGAAATTAAAATGAAAAATATCAGAGGCTGTGAGGTGGGAGAAGCTGGAGGGGTGAGAGGCATGGCTAAGTGGAGCAGTTCATTGCAAACTTAAACTGTCGTCCCTGGTGGCACAAGGGGTTAAAGAGCAGCACTATGAAGCTCTCTGCAGCCACTGCAGTATGAGTTCGATCCCCCGCCAAGGAGGTGACCCACAGGGCACAGCAGACCTCTCCTGTCTCCCCGCTGCTCCCCTGAGCACTGTATTTCAGTAGATCTGCCTGTTCTGTTCCCTGCTCTGTCTCTGGTGACTTCTCTCACACCCTGCCCCTCTGGCCTGTACCCCAACTCCTGTATGCGGAAGTAAATAAATCATAAAATAATCTATGTCATCATCTCCTAAGAGGAGAAATTGGGATAAATTCGTGGGTGACTTCCAAGGAGGAAAAAAATGAGAAGTTGTTGGGAAATGCAACTTTACATACATAATTTTAGCTGACTTCTTCAGCAGTTCTGATGAAGGTCATTTGCCATGAAGAAATCATTTGAGTCTGGTGGTCCAGTTCCGAGTACCAACTGGTCTGATGTAGGTCAGAGGAGGTTGGTGATCCTCCTGATCATATGGAAGGAAAAGTATAAATCAGTTCATTTGTTATCACTGTCTTGAACATACCAAATGCCAATTGCGCACTAACATTGCAGTCTTAATTTTGAGTATCTTTTTGATAAGCTGATGTCTGTTTATATCTTTGTGCTTTGGGAATTATTTTTCAAGTGTCCAAAGAGCCTAATGAAGAAAAAAGATTCTGTCTTTCCACTTTTTCCGTAAGAACGTCAGATGCTCTGGGCTCTCCCTGATGGCGCAGCGGGTTAAAGCACAGCACTAAGAAGCTTAAAAAAAAAAAAAAAAACCACTTCCACATGAGTTTGATCCCCGCCTGCCCCGGAGGTGACCACATGGTGACCACATGGCTGGCAGACCTCTCCTGACCCTCCCGCTGCTCCCCTCAGCAGTGTACTTCGTCGATCTGCCTGTTCTGCTCCCCACTCTGTCCCTGGTGGGTTCTCTCACCCTACACATCTCTGGTCTGTACCCCAGTTCTGTATGAATAAATAAATAAATCTTTAAAAAAAAAAGAATGTCAGATGGTCTGAAACGGAAGCAGTATCATTTGCTACCTGATTGGATTAGTTGCACCTCGGTCTGGGAGAAATTGTTAATGAGCTATCTGGATAATTGCCTCACTGTTGATGGAGCATTCTGTTAATAATTTATTAGACTTGGCCACTTTGTGTGAGCATAGATTTCCAACCTCGGAGTAACAGTGTTTGCTTCTAGAAACTACTTTTGGATCAAGCTGTAAATACAGTTTTTGTACGAAGTGGGGAAGAGAAAAGAGTACAACCCCTGTAGTTCAGGTGTTGTCCATTTTTATTTAAGTGAATAACGTATGTCTGTGTGTCCTGCGTGTCCTGTTTCTCAGGAGTGGGGCAAAGGGGAGCCTCGGTCCTCTCCTCTCAGCCCCCACTTAGCTCCGCCCTGGTCAAAGGACAAATTCTAATTCGAGCTCTGCTGAGAGTTCCACTGAGCTCAGGAAGCCAGCGACATGGTCCTGACCTTGGGTTACTGGGACATCCGAGGGGTGAGCAAGGGTCTTCCAGGGGTGGAGGGCTGGAGCCGGCGGGAGGGGTGACACACTCTCGGGAGGGGCAGACTGAGCCAGAAGGCCCTTTGGAAGGGCTCGCTGGTGTCCAGCTGCCTCCTCCACATGTCTTTTCAGGTGTGGGGTGTGTGTGAGCATGAAGGGAAACCTTAAAGGCGTCGGTGCAAGATGTTGCCTGGAGTGGACAAAGTCGGGATCGCCTTCCTCCACACTCCCCTTGACCTCTGACCTTTCTTCTGGCCTCTCTCCCAGCTAGCTCACACCATCCGCCTGCTCCTGGAATACACAGGCTCACACTATGAGGAGAAGATGTACACCATGGGCGACGGTAAAGGCCCTGTTCTGACTGCAGCAATTTTGCTGATTTGGTAACAAGCACCCACGGCCTTTGGCAGCTGGGGCTCCCTAAGATGCCCCCCACCATATGCAAAAGGGACCTCCCAACTCTAAAGCCCTTTGAGGGTGCAGCTTTGCTTCCAAGGAAGGAGTGACGGGACTGAACCGAGTGGCTCCACTCTGAGTAAAACTTCCTCATAGGTTTCCTGAGCTTTATCAGTGCTTTCTCCCCCAAAGCTGGGATGCAAGATGGGGTTCGGACTCACATGCCCCTGTGCAAGGGCCCTAACACTGGTCCCTTTGCAGTTTCCTGGGGACAGAGTTGGGCCTCCGAGAGGCTTGTTTACCTGTCTTCTCCATCTGCCTTCTCCCCCACAGCTCCCGACTATGACAGAAGCCAGTGGCTGAGTGAAAAGTTCAAGCTGGGCCTGGACTTCCCCAATGTAGGTGCAGGCTGGGGGGATGTGGGCAAAGAGCGGGTGTCTCCTCCCCTCCCTTTCCGCTAAGAGGCTTTGGGGCCAGTGTCTGCTGCTCCCTGGCTCTCTGCACCACCCCCTGATGCTCTGGGTCCAGCCTATTCACGGCTGGACACATGAATATGGTAGCTAGTGTGGGCCAGGGGCTGTGAGAGCCAGGATTCCTCTCATCCCTTAAAGAAGTTGGGGGTGCAGGGGAGCTGGAGGCCCAACCACCTGCCTCTGACTCCTTTGCAGCTGCCCTACTTAATTGACGGGGATCGCAGGATCACCCAGAGCAACGCCATCCTTCGCTACCTCGCCCGCAAGCACAACCTGTGTGAGTGGGCGGGTGGGCACAATGGCCGGGCTGTGTCTCTAGTGGGGTCCGGTGGCAGCCGAGGGTGAGCAGTGCTGTGTGGCTGCAGGTGGGGAGACAGAAGAGGAGAAGATTCGCATCGACATTTTGGGGAACCAGATTCGGGACACCCGCATGAACCTGGCCATGGTCTGCTACAGCCCTGACTTCGTGAGTCCCCTCCCAGCGGGCAGCGCTGGGTACTTTCAGGCTCAACTGGACTCTTGTGTCCTGTCTCCACTACTCCTGTTGACATCTAAACTCCTTAGAACTACTGACCCTAGAAGAGGCTTCCTATGCCACTCCAGAGTGACCCTCAACCCCCAAATGTATCAAATGAAACTCTGAGGAGCCCCACCAGACAGACAGAATCCAGACGGCCCAGGAAATCCTCCCAGGGTTCAGCCCAGCACTGTCTCCACACAGCGGGGTCCAGCGTGCGTCCATGTAGGCAGCTCAGGGCCAGCGTGCTCCTGTCCTTTCATTTCAGCCTTTCTCATGCTGGTCGCTCCAAACCTAAGTGTCCATGCCTTCTCCTGTTATCCAGGGGCTAGGACTTTCCACTGCTTTCCCTGAAGCCCTTTTGTTCTTCATTCTCTATGTGGGTCATGTTCATCTGGTTCTCACAGCTGCCCTGGGTTGGCCCCTGTGGGGGTGTCGGGGGGAGGCAGAGAGACAGTGGAGACACAGTGGGGGGACAGATGCTGCTGGCCTGCTTCCCCCTTGCTCACAGGTGGGGGCCCCAGGAGTCTCAGGAACACAGTTGTGTGGCCTGGGCCCTGGCCAGGCACAGTCGGGGTCCATGGTTGCTCCCCTGAGGCAACTGGGGGGTACGGAAGCCCCTGGCAGTTCTCTCTGTCAGGGTCTGTGTCTGAGGGGTGACGGCTGGCTGTTTTGCTCCCCAGGAAAAGCTGAAGCCCGACTACCTGAAAGGACTCCCCGAGACGGTGACCCAGTACTCCCAGTTTCTGGGGGAGAGGCCTTGGTTTGCAGGGGACAAGGTAAAGGGGAGCTCTGGGGGCGGGGGGTCGCTCCTCCAGGGGTCCGACTTGCTGCCACCCCCCCCCCCTGCAGGTCACCTACGTGGACTTCCTGGCCTACGACGCCCTTGACCGACTGCGTGTCTTTCAGCCCACGAGTCTAGATGCCTCCCCGAACCTGAAGGCCTTCCTCAGGCGATTTGAGGTCACTCTCTTGATTCTCCTTATTATGTCACTTGACCCTCTCTTCTGCCTAACATTGTTTTTTTTTTGGTCCTGTTGGTAAAATGAAGAAAAACTAGCAATGAATGAAGACTTTCTCAGGCCAGGAACTCTCCTTAGCATCTTGTGCGTTTTCTCACATTTAATCTTTACAGGACCTTTACACAGTAGAATGATGAGCACCTTTAATTTACAGATATAAATCTCAGCTTGGGGGGCAGGAAGCGCCTCTGGCTTCCCCCGGGGCTCTCCCTGTCCTGGGCCCAGAACAAAGCCTCAGGGCCCTTTCCAGGCCGCTGCTCAGCACCCCCACAGCTGGGGGTGGAATGTGGCTGGAGCGGGAGAACTGAGACCCCCTGGGGTGACAGGAGCCAGCAGAGACACGGACACTATTCACGGTCCCTCTCCTGAGAGCTGGGTGGTGCTCCCCCACATATGGGGTTGCAGAAATGAAGTACTGCTGGGACTTGAGTTCATTTGTGGGTGCTCGTGGGGAAGGTCTTCAGATGTCTTCTTCTTGTGTTCTTGTGGGCCTTTCTCTCTTTCTCTTCCTCTCGTTACCGGCTGCACTGTTGAAGGTCGGAGTACGTGAACTCAGATCACTGATCTGACCTTCTGGGGCGAAGCCCTGGGACAAGCAGATCGAGAGCTGGATAGGAGACTGTGGAGCAGGAAGCCAGCAGCCCAGCAGCGAGTTGACCCTCGGAGAAGACAGTGCAGGGCTTGGCCTGGTTGAGTCCATGCATCTAAGTCGGGGTGCACGGGGACCCCGTCTGGGCCACCCTCCTGGGCTCCTGCTTGGAGGATTACGGGAGCCAGGCTGTGTGGTGAGGGGGCCGACTGGAGGAGCAGTCACATCGGCTCGCTGTGAACAAGCTCTGAGCTTGGCAAGCTAAGTGAGCTTTGCTGCAGATTTCAGAATTGGAGCCGCACGATTTTTGCCCCGTCTGAACCCTGCTCTCCATCGACAGGTCTGCTTTGTCAAGCAGTTCTTGCCAGTGCTGGCTGGAATTCCAGCTGATTTCCTTATGGTTATGTAAGAGCTGATTACTGAGTGCTCATGTCTGTAGCCTGTAGCTGGTGCAGGCTTGTGTCTTTGAAAGGCATTTGCAGAATCTTGAATGCGTTACCTTGTGCTTTTCGTTCTCTTTCTGTCTCTCTCTGTCCGAATACACCTGAGTCTATACGATTTGGCCTGAGATGCATGGACTCAACCAGGCCACGCCCTCTGCTGTCTCCTCCAAGGGACAGCTCGCTTCTGGGCTGCTGGCTTCCTGCTCCACAGTCCACTGTCAGCTCTCACCCTGGTTTTTCTGAGTCCCTGCTGAGATCAGCTCTCTTCTGAAAGTTCCTGGGGCACAGTCTGAGCCCTTTGTTCTGCTTGGGGGCACGGTTGTAGGCAACTCTGGAGAGCCAGGCTCCTCCTGTGAGCAGGGAGAGTGTTCGTGAAACAGGGAGCCAGGCCCTGTGAGGAGGGTGTGGGGAGAGCAGCAGAGAGGGTCCAGACCTGGGGAGGCCGGGAGCACTCCAGGCTGTCCTCTCTCTAGTTGTGAGAGCGGCAGAAGCCACTGCACCTGCGTGCACCTCAGTTTCTCTGTTGCTAAATAGTGATTGCAGAAGCTATTGTAGTTGGTGGAAGTTGTTAGCTTCTGTTACAGTCTAACCTAACCCATAATCTCTTGGAGATTTACATGCAAGAATGTGCACATAAGTAGTAAATCATATAAAGATGCCACATTAATTACAGCTTTTGGAAGACAGCTTACAGAGCAAGTTGGGGACCTCTATGGACTGATGCCCATCGGGCAGCTAACCTCTGGCTGACCTTTAGTTTCCCGCCCTCAGGGCCTGCCGAGGATCTCCGCCTACATGAAGTCCAGCCGCTACCTCCCACACCCTATGTATCTGAAGAATGCTGTGTGGGGTAACAAGTAGACCCAGGAGGCCGGGACATGGAGCGTGGGCCAGGTGCTGTTTGAGAACAGCAGGCCCACCTGGAGCCTTAACTGAGCGCCCTTTGTTGTCCTTCTTTCATTTTCTTTATCCCCCCAATCAGGCCTGATTTGACCCTTTGTCTCTAATCCCATTTCATCCAGGCCCTTTGAGACTGTCAGTAGGCCCGCCCTGGCGGCACAAGGGTTAAAGTCTCAGCACTGTGCAGCTACTGCCAGGCCAGCTGCTGAGACACAAGTTCCATCCCTGGCCAGGGAGTGACCACCTGGAGCAGCAGACCCCTCCGGTCTCCCTGCTCCTGCTGTCAGGAAAGCGTGCGAGCCTCTTTCTCCCCTCCCTGAGGCTCTTTGGCTCCGAATTGCAACTTGCTCTACTTTTATAGGCTCATAATAATAAAATAATGTTTTTCCACTTTTACCTTTGCCTGTTTATTTGCTGTGCATCTGGTCACCTGATGAATCACTGTCTGTGAATCTCCCAGAGAAAAGAGACTTCTGCTGGAATAGACCAGACTGGCTAAGATGTCTCCTAACACTGGGAAGCTCTGGTGTGAAGCTAGACCTTTGTCCTGCTGGTAATCGCTGTGATCATTGTCACTGTAGGGTAAGAGCTTCAGAGGGCGAATCACCGACTGCTGCACGTTTGGGCTGTTGACATGCTTACATGTGTCTGGGCCGTGAATGCAGCCAACAGTGGGAAGGGCTGTTTCTAGGTGACTCCTCACCGATGTCCTTGTCTGTAGATCACTGGGAGCTTATTGATTCACCTTGGGCCACCCCAGGGAGGGGTTAAACACAGAGCAGATCCAGCTGTAGCGTCTGGTAGAGGTTTCTGCGGTCACTTACAGTGGCTGCCTTTGGAAAAGAGCAACCAGAGGCCCCTTCTAGCCAGGCTGACGGGCTCTGGGTCTGTCCTGGGTTGGCCCAGCCTCGGTGCTGCCCGGCCCAGGGCAGTGCAGAGAGCTGGAGCACTGCTGTCTGGCAGGCTGCCTCCCCTGGCACAGCTGTACCCCAGGACCAGGCTGCCTGGGCCTCACCCCCTTCTCTGCCCCTCTCATTGTCTGGAGTCTCTGCTGCAGCCTACTGCATTGTGACAAATGCAATTCTTTTTCTTTTTTAAAGGATTTTATTTATTTATGCATACAGAAGTGGGTGCAGGCCAGAGGTGCAGGGGCAGTGAGAGGATTCACAGCGACAGAGTGGGGAGCAGAACAGGCAGATCGAGGAAGCACACTGCTGAGGGGAGCAGCGGGCAGGTCAGGAGAGGTCTGCCACACCCTGGGGGTGGCACTGAAGTGGCCATGGCTGACTTAGCTTTGCAGTGCAAAGCTGCAACCCACTGTGCCACCAGGGAGGGCCTGACAAATGCAATTATAAGCAGGCCAGGACTTGGGTTTGTGGGTCTGCCATTGTCCAGCTCCCCATAGGCAGACTCCTAGGGAGTCTAGTTTGGCCCCAGAGGTTGCATAGTGAGTCTGAACCCCGACCTGGAGCCCAAGGACTGGCGTGTGCGTATGTGGGGGGTATGTTGGGAATGGACCCCAGGAACAAAGCTTATTGGCCTCCAGTGACAATAGGGGCCTCCCAGTCCCCATTTAAGAGATGCACAGACCCCAGACTCTGATCTAATAGGGGTTATTTCAAGTCTTTGTGTCCTTCTTAAAACTTCCTCGACAGTACAATGGCTCAAAACATTATGGAACTTGTTATTCTAATAAATTATTACTAATTTAAACTTATTTTGTAGTGCACAAACTTGCTCTTTACTTATAAACCCATTTTAAAAAAAATATTTATTTATTTATATATACATCCAAAACTGGGATATAGCCAGAGGTGCAGAGGCGGTGAGAGGCTTCACCAGAGACAGAGTGGGGAGCAGGACAGGCAGATCGACAGAGTACACTGCTGAGGGGAGCAGCGGGTGAGACAGGAGAGGTCTGATGGGCCTTGTGGGTCACCTCCCTGGCTGGGGATCAAATTTGTGCTTAGGCGGCCGCGGCGAGCTTTGTAGTGCTGTGCTTTAACCTGTTGCGCCACCCGGGAGGGTCTATAAACCCATTTTCTTACTAAAGTTCCATGCATCTGTTTTCAGACATCACCAAATTTTGTAATATCCTTTAATTTAGGGAAATAAACATTGGCCAAGCTATGTCTGAGTCTCTTAAGCTGAAATAGGTTTCTGCTTCCACAGCAGACATTGGCAGGCAGGGCCCTGCCCTTGTGGAGTTTGTACCAGAGCACAGATAACACAGTGACCTCAAAGGCCACCGGGCGCCATCTCCTACCCAAACCCACACCGGGGCAGGAGCCAGGGTCAGGGCTCCAGTCCAGCACTCTGAGGGTCTCCACCCTGGGGTCTGCAGGGCCTGGCTGAGCCCCTGTCCTGTGGGGAGTCCTGCGGGCATCTGGGTGCCACCCCACTTTGCCACCCAGTGCAGTGACATGGCATCTGGCCCCCCTGAGTTCATCTCTCCCCCTCATGCACTAGCCCCTGAGACCACCGGCTTCCAGTCACTGTCCCTATCAGTGGGGGGCCATCTTGCTGGGGGCAGCCCTGGAGCGCCTCTGTGCCCTGCTTGGGGCTGGGACCAACTCAGGACAGCAGGCGCCAGCTAGGCTGTAGCCATTTACATTTGTGCTTCTCTTAGCGACATGACCTAAGAGGGAGTCTCCCACCGTGTGCTAAAGGAAAACACAGCCCACAGGTCTTGGGGGTGGGGGCAACCCCTTCCCACTGAGTCTGTCCTGGTAGATTCCTGAACAGATTCTATAGACTGGGAAGAGCTTTCTGAGCACAGAAACTTGGTAAGCCTGGGTAGGGCCAGGTTAAACTCTGGTCTCGGGACTGCAGGGGCAGGCAGAACAATGCTCTGAGTGGAGAAGGGGGAGAAGAGATTGCCTTGAGCTTTTTACCACCCAGACTTGTCCCCTAGACACTATACCAGCAGCAGAGGCCTGAAAAGGGGCCAGAGCCCCAAAGAGGGTAGGAGGGAAGTTAGCCCAACGCTCCTGAGTCCTCAAGGCTTAGCGGCTGCAACTGGGCTAAATTCTGCAGACCTGGATTTGGGCCTTCACTGAAGACAGCTGCTTCTTGGGAGTTTGGCCCTGCGCCAGGGAGGTGCGGCGGGGGCGGGGGCGTGGGGGAGTAAGGGGGGCGGGGCCATGGCTGGCCAGAAGAAGGGGCAGGCAGCTCCAGCAGGCTCCTTTCAGGTGGCCCAGGGCAAGTTACCAGTCCTGCAGAGCGGAACACCGAGGCCCAGAGCGCTGAAACCTGCACCATGGCTATGACTTTCGGATACTGGGACATCCGCGGGGTGAGTGAGGGCTCTCCCTGGGTGGGTGAGGAGGGGGCGGCGGGGCGGGAGGCAGCCAGGGGCTCCTGTTTCACCGAGGCGCCTCTTGGGGCCTTGGTGGTGCTCAGCCTCATGGGGGCTTCTGCCCCGTCTGGGTGGGCAGAGAGGAGAGTGTTTGAAGCTGTGAGCGCAGTTGGAGCCACCAGCCCAGTCCGCTCTGACTTCTGTCCCTGCACCCCCCAGCTGGCTCACGCCATCCGCATGCTGCTGGAATACACAGACTCCAAGTATGTGGAACAGAAGTACAGCATGGGCGACGGTAATGGCCTTCTGGCCCAGTCCTCCCCTCTCGAGGTTGTGGCTTGGGGTCCCAGGCAGACAGCAGAGGATTTCAAAGCCCCAGCACAGTCACTCGGCCGGCTGCCCACCGGACTTTGCCTTTACCTGAAGAAACCTTCCTAGCACGGGGCCCTGACTCTTGCCCGTGGGGCTGGGATGCGAGACGGGGTTCAGACTCACATGCCCTTGTGCAGGGCCCCTGACACTGGTCCCTTTGCAGTTTCCTGGGGACAGAGTTGGGCCTCTGAGAAGCTTGTTTACCTGTCTTCTCCACCTGTCTTCTCCCCCACAGCTCCCGACTATGACAGAAGCCAGTGGCTGAATGAAAAGTTCAAGCTGGGCCTGGACTTCCCCAATGTAGGTGCAGGCTGGGGAGATGTGGGCAAAGAGCGGGTGTCTCCTCCCCTCCCTCTCCGCTCAGAGGCTTTGGGGCCAGTGTCTGCTGCTCCCTGGCTCCCTGCACCACCCCCCTGATGCTCTGGGTCCAGCTCATTCACGGCTGGACACATGAATATGGTACCTAGTGTGGGCCAGGGGCTGTGGAGCCGGTTTCCTGTCTGCTTTTGCTGAGGGGGTGCAGGGGAGCTGGAACCCCAAACGACCTACCTCGGATCCCTTTGCAGCTGCCCTACTTAATTGACGGGACTCGGAAGCTCACCCAGAGCAACGCCATCCTTCGCTACATCGCCCGCAAGCACAACCTGTGTGAGTGGGCAGTGGGGTGGGGGTGGGAGTCGGTGGCTGTGTCTGTCGGTGGATCTGCGTGGGACACTGAGGTGAGTCTGTTGTTATATGACTATAGGTGGAGAGACAGAAGAAGAGAAGATTCGCATGGATATACTGGAGAACCAGGCCATGGACACGCTTATCCAAATGGCCAGGGTCTGCTACAGTCCTGACTTTGTGAGTCCCCTCGTGGGGCAGCCTTGGGGAATTTCTGATTGGAGCCTGGACGCCTGTGTCCCATCCAGCCTGGTCTGTTTGCATCTAAACTCCTTAGATCTATGCATCCTTGAAGGCGTTCCCAGAATGGGCTTCAAGCGCCAGTGTGCCAGATGCAAACTCTTCTGATCCATTCCTGCCACTCGTGGGGTAGAATTCAACAGCCCACGCTGGGAATTCTGCTCCTAGCGGGGAGTCAGCCAGCACCGTGTTAGAACAGCGCTGCCTCCTGGGGTGCGGACAGGCGATGCCAACATGTGCTCCCCGGGCCACCTCTGCCTTTCATCCCCATGCTCTCTCCAGTTTCCTCACGTGTCTGTTCTCCAACCACTCATATTTAGAACTTTGCACTTCTTTCCTTGTGTCCTTCATTTTTTGTTTCTGCCCGATGGGGCCCAAAACTCCGCCAGGTTCTCACACCTGCCCACCGTGCAGCTGGAGAATTCTCACAGCTTTCCCAGATGGGTGGCGTGATTGTTGGGGCTCCACCAGGTGCAGTCGGGGTCTGCAGCTGCTCACCTGTGGCTGTTTTATGCCTCAGGAGAAGCTGAAGCCCGACTACCTGAAAGCACTCCCCGAGACCGTGAAGCAGTACTCCCAGTTTCTGGGGAAGAGACCTTGGTTTGCAGGGGACAAGGTAAGGAAGGGGACCTGGGGGTACTGGGTTGTCATTCCTCCAGGGGTCAGAGTTTCTGCCAGCACCCCCTCTCTCCTGCAGATCACCTATGTGGATTTTGTGGCTTATGACATTCTTGACAAACTTCGTATATTTGAGCCCAAGTGTATGGATGCCTTCCCGAACCTGAAGGAATTCCTGGCTCGCGTTGAGGTGATTCCTCTGATCTTCCTCAATGTTCTTCCCTCTTTTCCTGATGTTTTCCTCATCCGGCATCTAAAACGAAGGAAGCCTGCTTTCATGGAGGACTCTGCTGAGAGTTTTCAATGCCATGGCATGGTTTTTAAGATAAGCATCTTCCATCTACTGCGTCATATGTAATCTTTACGTTTCTACATGGTAGAATAATTTTCACCTATTCCTTCAAGAAAAGGACACCCAGATTGGAGGGATAAGAATTCCTCAGCTCACAGAGCAGGGCGGGCTGGGGTGGGCCTCGGCCTTTGGTTTTCCCAGGCAGCAGCAGCAGCAACAGCAGTGGCTGTCCCTGTCCTGGTCCAGAGCAAAGCCTCAGGGCTCTTTCCAAGCCGCTGCTCAGCCCCCCACAGTGGGGAGGCAGCTGGGGGTGGAGTGTGGCTGGAGCGGGAGAGCTGAGACCCTCCTGGGGTGACAGGAGCTAGCAGAGACAGACACTATTCACAGTCCCTCTCCTGAGAGCTGGGCAGTGCACCCCCCTCCCCCCCGCCATGTCTGGGGAGCACTGAGGGTCCCAGCAATGAACTGCTGCTGGGACTTGCGTATGTATAGGTGCCCTGAGTAGAGATCGTCAGATGTCTTCTTGTTGAAGCAGTTTCCTTCTCTCCTGTCTCCTTCCCCTCCTCCAGTTACCCAGCTTCTCTCTGGCAACCAGGAGCACACACACTTTACCTCATATCACTGATCTGACCTTCTGCTACGTATGAGGCACTGGAACTGGCACAGTGGGGAAGTAGGTGGCTCTGCCCTGGTGCCACCGTGCAGTTGGAGAGTTACTGGAACCACACTGGGAGTTGGGTGTGGAGGAACACACCTGGACCCAACTCACAGCTAATCATTGGTCAGTCGGAGTCAACTTTTTGCAGAGAAACTAGATCAACTCTAACTGGTTTCAGCATTAGAGTCATAAGAGTTTTGATCCTTCTATCTGATTCCCTTCCACTCCCACCAAGAGATCTGCTTTCTCAACGAGTCCTCACTAGTTCTGTTTGGAGCTGGCTGTTCTATGGTTATGTAAGAGCTGACTGCCGACAGCCAGGAGGGCGGCCCAGAGCTCATGTCCGTAGCCTGCAGCTGGTACAGGCTTGTATCTGTGAAAAGGCAATTGCAGGATCTTGAATCCTTAGATCTCTGTGCTCCCCCTGTCCCCTCCTCGCCTCCTCCCACCAGCTCTCTCTGTTGGGAAGGTGGTGCCCAAGCACACTTGAGTCTCTGCTTAGTTGGGTACAGCAGGACCGGGCAGGAGATAGACTCCGGGACCCGGCCATGTCTTGGACTTTCTCCTCTCAGAGGGACAGCCCACTTCTGGGCTGCTGGCTTTCCTCCTCCACATCTTCCTATCAGCTTCCTCCAGATTTTGCTGAGTCACTGGGTGAGATTGGCTTTGTTAACTTTCAGGGACACAATCTGAAACTTGTGCTTGAGAGCCCTGTTGCAGGTCACTCTGGGGAGCCAGGCTCCTCCCGGTGAGGGAGTGTTTGTGAGACAGGATGACCAGACCCTTGTGAGGAGGGCTGGAGACCAGCCGAAGAGCCCAGAACTGGGGAGCTCGGGAGCACTCCAGGGCTGCCCGCTCACTAGCTGTGAGAGCTGTGGAAGCTGCTGCACCTGCGTGTGCCTCAGTTTCCCTTCTGATAAATAGTGATCCTAGAACATATCTCACAGGGTAAGAGCTTCTAAACCCTCGTCCTTCTCTAACCTATCTCAGACTCTCTGGTGGATCAAAAGCACCTGCGTGTCTCATGGTCATGTGTCTTACAGCGACCCCATTAGTCACACAGATTGGACTAGAGAACCCACAGTGCTGGGAGTCTAAAGGACTGAGGGTCATGTCTGCCCCTGAAGGAAGCTCCGTACAGGGTCTTGAGCTCACTTTTTCTCCAGTGGAGCTGTGGAGCCCAAAGGTGCTGCATCTTGGCTCGGATCTGACCTTCCCTTCCCACCCTCAGGGCCTGCCAAAGATCTCCGCCTACATGAAGTCCAGCCGCTACCTCCCACGCCCACTGTTTCTGAAGATTGCTGTGTGGGGTAACAAGTAGACCGTGACGTCTATAGCCAGGTTGGAGCATGGAGCTGTTTCTGTCATGCCAGGCAGGCGTGGAGCCCGCCCAGCCCCGCTGGTCCCCAGTAAAGGCTTAATCGCACCTGCTCTGTCTTGTCTGTTCCCTCCCTGCCTCCCGGGCTCTCCAGCTTCCCAGGCCCGACTGGGGAGCCTGGCAGTGACTGGGGCACCAGGCCGCTGCGGCTGGCAGGAGGCTGAGGCTGTTCCGGTCTGCCCCTCGCTGGGGCCCTCCTGACCCACCTGTCTCCTTCATTCTCCCTCCCTGAGGCCCGTGGCTCTGCAGAGCTGTGTGTGTTAGTGTGGGGGACCAGAGGGGAGTCCCCATCCCAGAGGGAGAACCAGGACTCCCCCCTGTGCAGTGGGGCGCCTCATCACAGCTGTGGGTGTGCCTCCCCTCAGGGGCACCCAGGCCTCTCTCCAGGTGGCTGGTCAGCTCTCAGGCAGGCCCTGGCTTCTTGGTCACCCTCATTTCCTGGGTGCCCTGAGAGAAATGTCCTTGGTGTTACATAAGAGAAAATACCCATGCAGTGTTCGCTGACCTGGTAGTCTGGTGGGTCTAGAATTCTAGGGTGAAGATCTCAGATGCCGGATGGAATCACTCAGCCGTGCTGGGGACAAGAGTGACGGCATCTGACTTGTCTCCTTAGTAGATGGACTTTCCCCTAAACTCAAGAAGTTTTCGGGTTCCTTCTGCCGTTCTCATCACCCAAATCCAAGGCCTATGTGCCAACCTGGGCCTGATGTTTTCCCACTTTATGCCATTCATGGGCTTCTCAGCTCGAGTCTCCACATGGTTGGTCAGGTACCCCTCCCACCCCACCCCCCCCAGCGTCCCCTGTAGTGACTTCGAATCTCTTTGTAGAGTGGACTGCTGAAGGGGAAAGCCCCAGTTGATGAGGATCTCTCAAACCACGCTCCCCAGAAAGTTGCAGATGATGTGGGTATGGGTTTTAGACAAACTTGAGTCAGGAGAAAATACTGCAAAATCATCAAACATTTTACTCAGATGCATCCCAAAATACAACTTCAAAAATACAAGCAAGCCTCAAACAAGTATTTCCCAAAGCCAGCAAGCAGTAAGCGCCCGAAAAGCATATGAATATTAAAATATTTAGATATCAAAGTAGTGATGAACACTTAGGTTTTATTGCATACTAATAGAGCTCAATCAAAGGGTGGAACAATTGTATCTTATCACTATTGCAAGTTGAAGAATTAACTTACAGAAATGGGGCCCCGAAGGATCGTCTGATGAGCCATAACTTGACCCAACAAGGACGTGCTGAATGGAGTCCTGGATCTTTATCCTCAGGGACCCCAGTGGGCAGCAGGCCCTGACCTACAAGCTGCTTTTGCCCTCTCTCAGAGCCTCAGGGCCCACGGAAGCACTCTGCTACATGAAGTCCAGTCTCCACCCCCCTCACCCTCCGCTTTAAATCTTACCCTGTGGGGCCCTCCCTGGTGGTACAACTGCTTGTAGCCCAGCACTGTGAAGCTTTCTGCAGCCACTGCAGCACGAGTTTGACCCCTGGCCAGGGAGCTGACCCACAGGCGCGGCAGACCTCTCCTGTTTCGCCCACTGCTCTCCTCAGCAGTGTATTTCAGTCCATCTGCCTGTTCTGCTCCCCACTCTGCCTCCAGTGAATCCTCTCACCCCCCACACCTCTGGCCTGTACCTCAGTTCCTGTATGCATAAATAAATCTTTAAAAAAAATTAAATCTTGCCCTATGGGGCAGCAAAAAGACACTTCAAGTCTCAAGATGGATGAGGAGTCAGAGCTACTTCTAATATCAGGGATCCTGGAGAACATCTGGGCCTCCCCATAACCCCATACCCCCAAATCCAGCTGTTTTGCTTTATTCTCCTCCCTTGGGTCTTGCAACCTACAGTATTGGTCTTTCTCCCTTCCAACCTCCATTTCCCCCAGACCCTCCAAAGCTTCAGCTCCCTGCATTTCATCAGGATTGTCTCTCCTTCCCACTTACTCTTCCTATGCTAGAGTCTGGCATCCTCACCTTCCCTGTCTGAAGCCAGCACTGGCCTAGTAGTTCAGGCCCTGCCCAGCCCTACTGGGTTTGCCAGTAAAGCCCTGATCAGAACTGCTGTCTCTTCCTTATTCCCTGCTGGCTGCCTGGACTGTGGTGGGACTGTCAGTGTAGGGGTGCTCTGGGTTTCCTTCTGGTGTGGATCGCAGGGCTGGAGGGTGGGAGCACGTGTGTGCTTGTGGGAGAAGTAGACCTATTGTGTGCTGTGTGGGAGAAGTAGACCTATCATGTGCTGTGCAGGAGGGGAAGTCGACCTAGCAACTTCCTTGGTCTCTGTACTTCATGTTCCTCTGTCCCTCCTTAATTCAGCAGCTCTGCAATACCGCCTATAAGCGGCTCAGAGGGGCTCTGGGCTCTGGGGGCGGGGGCCGAACAGCGCACTGTAGTGTGGGATTAGGTGGGCTTCCTGGGGTCTTACAGCTTGGTGTGCAGACCCAGAGCCTGGGTCACAGGCCTTGCCTTGGTCACAAGGGAGGCGGGAAGTGAACTAGTTAGGATTAAGTTCTGCTGTAGTTAACTGAAAAGTAACCCATGACTTAAATAGGGCCGACGCCTACTTCTCATGTGAATAAAGACCTGGGTGCAGACAGGGAGGCTACTGGTCACCACAGCTTCCTCGTAGCTGACTCCTGTAGCTTCTTGCCTTTAGGCTCCGTCACCCTATGCTCTCTGTTTCTACCTAGTCCTGAATGGTGGCTAGAGCCCCCCCACATCTGTGTTCCAAGTGACAGGGAGGAGAAAGTGGAATGGGGTTGCTCTTCCGCCCTTGAGGAAATTTCCTGGAAGTAATACAGAACTTCGACTTAACATCACTGACGGAGCATGATCCTGCTGGAAATGACATTTCTTACGTGGGAAGTAATGCACCTGCCGAAGGAGCAATTCTGTGACATCCGATGATGGAAGGATGGTAAACAGGCATGGGTGAGTAGTGCCAGCATTGTTTGGGATTTCTGAGAAACTCCCTGCCTACAAGAAGGGTGTTTAAAAAAATATGCAGAGGCTAAATACTTAACAAAACATTCTTTTCCACTCATGTATTTCTAAACAGTCATTACTCCTAGGCGGCATATGTTGAAACAAAATCAAGGATTAAACAAAACCAGACCAATAACAAATTCTAGAAAGTGGACTAACATGTGGGCCCATAAGATGGGGAGTGGGAGGAGAAAGCCAATGGACTATGGTGGAGGACTGTGGGTGCCTTTGTGGGGGTGGGGTGTGGCGAAGTGTATCTGAGGAGGTGTGATGGTATCTCAGAAAAAAAAAAAAGGTTAAAAAAAGACTTGGGAAACTACTATATTATTAAAAAAAAAAAGTCTTAAAAGGACACCAAGAGCCTAGCTCATTTGGCTCAGAACAGCTCACTTCACTTGGCCTCAGCAAGCAGCAAGCCAGCCCGAGAATCACGTTCCTCCCCTCCACTCAGAGCTCTCTGCAGGCCCTCGGGCCTCCCTGACCTCAACTTCTGTCCTTCCCATGCGCGTTTCAACCTTTCTTCTACCTGGTTTAAGGACAGGACGTTCCATGTTTCTGTGATCTCATCCAGAACAGAGAACTTAAAAATATTTCTTGAGAGCGTGGAACACTTATTGGGAGCAAATTGTCCTTTCTCCTTCCAATTCTCAGGAGGATGAAGGGAACAGGTGTGCACCCTGCCCGGTTGGAGCAGCTGGAGTTCACCATGGTATGTGCTGATGGAGGAAACCTCGAATGTTTGGGAGGGGACATGTAAATAGGAGCGTTAAAGTGATGGTGGGGCGGGGAGCAGTGTGGTCAGGAGAAGTCACATCTCGGTGGCTTCAGCCCATTTACTTGTGACTTTGGTTTTCTGTCTGACATGACTGGCAGAGGCCCTCGCTGTTCCTGCCTATGAGCCACAGGCTGGTGGGGGACACAGTCAGGCCTGTGCTGACTCCTCCCAGCGGCGTTGGGACCAGGGCTTGGAGCCACAGCACTAGCGCTTCAGCCTGGAAGACCTGTGTGATTGCTGCTCACATCTCATTGACTAGAGCAAGTCATAGGCTACATTTCAGGTCAAGAGCAGAGCTGGTGGGTCACTCAGGGGTTAACGTCTTAATGCCATCAAGCTAGGGCCAGTCACTGCGGCCTGAGTTCTATCCCCGGCCAGGGAGGCGACCCACATGGCCCAGCTGCTCCAGCAGATTTCTCATGTCTCCCCGCTGCTTCCCTCAGCAGTGTGTTCCAATAGACCTGCTTGTTCTGCTCCCTACTGTGTCTCTGGTGAATCCTCTCACCCCCTGCACCTGTGGCCTGTACCCCAGTTCTTGTATGCACCCATAAATAAAATAAATTAAAACAAAAAAGAGCATAGAGACCAGGATAGTGCCAGAAACCTCAGGTGGTCACCACTAGTGATTTGTACAAGGTGTGAGCTGGGGCCTCCCGCAGAGGATGGGTGGGCATAGGTGGGGGCGTCAGGGGCAGGCCAAGCATCTGAGCAGAAGGAACAGCAAGTACCAAAGTGTGGCGATGGCAGAGCTCATTATGCCCTGAAGGTAGATGCAGTAACCACGGCCATGAAAGCGATTCAAAGAGAAATTTATTTAAGAGATTACTCAGAGCAAACTGAGGATTTAAACCTGAGGAGGCAGCATCGCATTTCTCTGCAGGCTGATCCCACCTTCAGAGGTTCTGGTCTCGTGACAGACACAGCTTGTGCAGGTGAGCCAGTGTGGAGGAGGTCACGGGTATCTGGTTACCGTCTGGCTAGCGAAGAAAGGAGGAATGTTGTGCGTGCTTTCAAGGGGATCTTTTATCTGGATGTTGTTTGTGGGGCCAGCCTGAGAACTGAGGCTTAGAAAGCTGCGTTCCGACCTGGAGTGTGCTTGACCTGGAGTGTGCTTGACGTGGAGTGTGCTTTGTGAAGACCAGACTCGAGCTTATCTCTGGTGCTTTCCTCAGCTTGCAAGGTGATAGCAGGAGGTGGTGGTGGTAGGAATGACCTTGGTGAGCTATTTGGTTACCATGTTGCAAAACAGTTTGGTTATTTAAAAATATCTTTGGTTTTCTTTCTGGGGAAGTAGGATTCTGTGACTACAATGCTGTGGTTTCCCAGGCGGGAGAAACACTAACAGCATAGGACATTTCAGCCTCCATGGGGGTAATTTATGTTCATAAATTTATGTAACACTGGTATCATCTAGGCACTCTAGAAATATTGGTTTCCTAGTTTCTTTAGTAACCTTTCAGGGAAAACACAGGAGGCCACAGTTTTTTGGGGACAGGGCCAGGACCTAAGGCAGGCAGCCGGCCTCCAGCAGCTCTGTGGCTCCCCAGGGATTTCAGAGACTCAGCACCAACAGGTGCAGCTGGGGTTAGATTATGAAGCTTTGTAAAGCAGAGAAAATCACGTTTTCCCAGGTGTAAGAAGCCATTTAATGTAATGAAGCAGGGGTGGGACTTGAGCACATTTGCACTTTAGGAAAAATCACCGGCTAAAGATCAATTACTTTCTTCTCCTCTCCCTTCCATGTGAACTCTCTAAATCTCTTTTCACTGGCATGGCTCATGGCCATGGCCATGACCTTGTCTTGTGGCTGAAGGATAGGCGATTGCAAATTCTGTGCAAAGTCCAGACACCCTCCCAAGTCCATGCGTTGGCTTCCACGTATATCTGTGTGGCTTTCCAGGGAGACACATCACAGGGTCCCTCACTTTCCCCATCCCACTTTCCTTGAATCACACGAGCTATTTTCTCCTGACTGCAAGTACCTTAATCTGGTTGCTCAACCTCAACAATAAACACAAATAGGTTTCCCTCGTGGGGAACTTCTCCACCAAATTTAATGCACCTGTCATTTTTTTAAAAAACTGTTCATGGGGACAGCTATCAAGCCACTGTCATAAGCTGGCAACCAACCTCAGACTTTGCTCTACACATGGAGCACAGTGCCAGCTTAATCTCTACAGATGTCAGTTTCCCCAGTTTGTTTTCTCCCCGTAAAGCTAGCTTCTATTACACAGCAATATGCGAACACATCCTCCCAGTTGAAAAGAGAGAAAAGTCCTAAGCTTGTCTCCAAAGTCCCCTTTACAAAGCATCCATCCTGGAGCTGGGGCTTTTCTCCCATTTACCTTGTAAGCCTTATTATTATTCCAGTATGTTCTTCCAGTTGTCTGGAAGATACATAAATGTATCTGTAGAAAATGTTTATGCCTCAAGTTTTCCTTTTTCTGAAATGTCCTAAGAGTCATACTCTTGTGTACTCATCTTCAATCTAAATTTTAATATTCAAAGATGTGCCTTTGGGGATAGTCAACTCTCATTTTTATCTGCCTTGCGGTTTGCCATAGTGTTGGGATTTATGTGATTCCCCCTTACTACAAGAAATGCATGATCTTAGCACAGAACGCTGGGTATAGGGGTGAATTTTTTTATAGTATGGAATTGTTGGGTCACGGGTATAACCTGAATTTTAAAAGAGCTTGATAAACTACCCTCCAAACTATCTATTCTAGTTTATAAATTCACTAGTAGAAATGAGCATCACTGGCCCTCCCTGGTGGCGCAGCGGGTTAAAGCACAGCACTGAGAATCTAAAGCCACTTCCGCATGAGTTCGATTCCCGCCTGCCCCGGAGGTGACCACATGGCCTGGCAGACATCTCCTGACCCGCCCGCTGCTCCCCTCAGCAGTGTACTTTGTTGATCTGCCTGTTCTGTTCCCCGCTCTGTCTCTGGTGAAGCCTCTCACTGCCCCTGAGCCTCTGGCCTGCACCCCAGTTCTGTATGCACAAATAAAATAAATCTTTAAAAAAAAAAGTAATGAGCATCACTTTCCCCAGACCTTGTCAACACTTACGGTTTTAGTTCATCTGATAGATAGAAAAATGGCCTCTCTCCGTTGCAATATGTAGTTCCTTGGACTATAAGTATCTTTTTAGTCTTTCTTTTTCTGGACATCCATGTTTCCATTTGTCTTTACTGTCTATAGGTTTTGGTCCACTTAAAAAAACTGAGTTGTCTTAATGATTTGTAAGATTTGTAAGCATTCTATACAGAGTTGATAGTGATTGCTTTTACTTCACTTGCTATTTGTTTGTGTTTTATCAAAGTTTTAGAATTTTAGTTCAACGTTGGCCCCCAGTTAAAACTCCAGAAATAATGTTAGTAAATGGTGGGAGGTGGGTGCTGTTATTTTAGCATGTAACTAGTATGTACTTATCCCAGTCCTATTTATGGGTTATTCCCGCCGGTCAGAAGCACTATATGACACTTAATTCCCGTTTATGTAAAGGTCTTTTCCTGAACTCAGTTAAGTCCACAGTCCTACACAGTTTCACTTGATGTCTTCACCCAGTCTTCACAGGGACCACACCACTTTATACCTCTGTTCTCTACAACTAACTAACTCGCTCTTATTTCCAGAACTTACTCTCAAGAATAGGGTATGAGCTGTAATCCTGGAAAACTGCTGGGGGCATGTGTGTTGAGGTGACTGGATTCACATCTTAATAATTCTCTACATATCCTTCACTCCCAAGAGAAATACAGCTGGACACCAGTAGCCTAAATGCTGTTTACTGAAAAGAGCAGGGAAGAGAGTAGAGCTCCATAGGACAGCATGGAATGAGAGGCAGTACAAGTCCTGTTCAGCAGGGTCTCTTGTTACCCCACTGGGCCATCTTGTTGTTGATGGGCAGCTTGAAGGAGCGGTCAGACTGCAGGAAGGCAGCTATTTTCTCCAAGGCCTGAAGGGGAAGCACACGGAGAGTTATAAGGACGCTAACCTAATCCAAAGGCCTGCACCAAAACAGCAATATTCACAGCAATATTCCCTCCAATCCCTGCCATACGATATCTTGCAGACAGAAGCCTGACCAAGACCTAAAGCTTTAGAAGTATCCCGAAAATCATTGACCTCTTTAGGCAAAAGCTGGTGTTGGGCAAGAATGATTGGGAGCGGGACGTGGGGCCCCGGGGGCCTGTTGTTATATAGAAAGGTTCAGGGAGCATCACCTCAAAACGGCACATGAAAGCCTTCAGATTTGGAAAGTCTTCCAGGCACTTGGGCTCAAACATTCGGTTCTGATCCAAGACATCGTAGGTAAGGAAATCCACGAAGGTCAGCTAGAGGGACAGCAAGGTATCAGGGCTGGGAGCTCACAGCACCTGCAGAGACGGAAGGCAGCCTCTCCTTTTTTTCCTTCTTACCTTTTCCCCTGCAAACCAGGAGAATTTCCCCAGGAACAAGGAGAATTGTTTCAGTTGTCCAGGTAGTTGTTCCAAGTACTGAGGCTTCAGTTTTTCCTGCAAGGGAAAAGCGATGGAGAGAAAGAATAGCTGTCATCATCTTCGTGGCTGGTTCGGGCAGGGGCCAGTGATGGGCACTAAGCAGCCCCTGACCAGAGCCTTCCTCTCCCTGCCTTCAGGGAGGGGTTCAGAGAGGAAGAAGGGCCAACCCGAGTATATGACATCCTTTCCAACCCCCCAGTAAGAGTTCTCTGACACACTGGTTGGTGAAAAGGTGGCGGCAGCAGATGGGGCAGACTTAGCCCCTGGGTGCCCAGCTGCTCCTTCTCCTGGGCACCTGCCTGTGACGGAAACTCACGTGGTCTGCGTGATAGCAGAGTCGCACGAGTTGCATGCGGAAATCCATGATTTGGTTTTCCATGATGTCCACGCGAATCTTTTCTTCTTCAGTGTCACCACCTGCAGGCCAAGTGGCAGCAAATAAACCCTGGCAATACCTACTCCCAGGTCAGCGACAAGCCTGGTCTCTTGCACCTGCCCCATTCCACTTACACATATTATGCTTGCGGGCGATGTAGCGCAAGATGGCATTGCTCTGGGTGATCTTGTTCTTACCGTCCACGAGATAGGGAAGCTGGAAGGGAAAGGACAGGTCAAATGAGCATTTCTTTCACCACCCTCCCTGCCTCTCTCCAGGGAAAGATGAGATTTCTAGGGAAGTGGACAGCAGGGCGGAGATGCCATGTTAAGAGAAAGAAGAAAGTGAGTAGAAGTTAGTGACTGAGCCCCCACCTGCTTCTAGACACCCTCTCAGAGTAGGGTTGTAAATGCATAAAGCAAATTACATATAATCTATACAATTCAGAAAACATTAAAAGCAAGGTTTGAGTAGAGATAGGCCATTAATGAGTTAAATAACCAGCAGATGTACCGTCTGCCATAATTTCAAAGTAGTGCTGGATACAAATGATTTTTATGGCCAATATCTCTAACACAAGTAATATCATACGAAAACACTTGAATTCTCCTTGTGACAAAGTCACAGACATGGCTAATGACCCTATATTTATAATAGAAGGAACGATGAACTATTGGTTAGTAGTCAGGGGAAGTGAAAATGCAGTTTTTTCCGCCACCTTCAAGGGCCCCTGAATTCCAACTATTCTATTCAAGTCAAGAGCCCCTATTTTGGATCTTCCGAGGCCAGAGAGAAAAGAAACAAGGATACACCCGATGACCTTCCCTTCTGCCTCCCTTCCCCTAAAGCCACCTACGTTGGGGAAGTCCAGATCTAGCTTGAACTTCACATCCAGCCACTGGCTTCTATCGTAGTCAGGAGCTGAAAGAGAGAGGGCGCAGAGGACCCAATTTCCTTAATATCGCACCCGAGGTGAGCGCGAAGACCCAACCCCGGTACCCTCCTTCGCAGGCCCTATTAACGTCACCATGTCATCCCTTGGGCCTACTCAGTTAAATATTAAGACTGGGTTGGGCTGCAGCAGATAAAGGCAGAGTCCCTAGGTGATGTGTTCCGAGTCCCAAGGGACCTTGTACTGATGCCACCTTCAGGGCGCAGGAAGCCAGGACAGCTGCAGGGCCCACTTGGCTTGGCGCGGAGCGCACTGGCGCGCGGGGCGGTATTACCTTCCCCGCAAGTGTACCGTTTCTCCTCGTAGGATGTTTCAGTGAACTCCAGGAGCATTCGGATGGCGTGCGCCAGCTGCAGAGACAGCCCGGGGTCAGCGCCCGCGCGGATCCCACTGACCCCACCCGCCAACGTCCCGGGGCCGCCAGGGCCAGCATCCCCCCGGCCGACGCGGTCGTTCAGCAGCCGGTGTCTGCGGCCTGCCGTTCTCAGCCCGTCTTCGCCCGGCCTGGGGGCCCCTGAGGTGCGGCTGGGTCGGGCACCGTGGCCGGGGCGCTGAGCCGGGGCTGGCTCCCCAGCGGCGCCCCTAATTCGCGGGTGCCCCGAAGCCCTGGCCGCCTCTCCATCGGACCCGACGGCTCCGCCCCCGCGAAGGCACTCACCCCGCGAATATCCCAGTAGCCCAGGATCATAGCCGACTTGGTCGACATGGCGAAGATGTTACTCTACTGGACACAGACCGCGGACCGCCAGGAACTTTATACCGGACGTAGGTGGGCGGGGTCTTCGGGTGGGCGGGGCTAGCTAGGGCCCCGCCCATACGCCCGCGCCCCCTCCCCGAGCGCCCACCCAGTGGCTGGGTTCGGTGACCGATGGGGAGGCCAGTGCTGTAGGACCCAGGCTTGGGGTTCCGCGCTCTGCTCGGGTGGGAGACGTGCCTGGTTGGTAATTATGGCCGTCAGGGCGGTCAGAGTGCCTGCAGCCCAGACAGTGAGGGTTCCATTATCCAGGGAGCGTGAGATTCATTTACAAATATTTATGGAGCCGGGGTGGGCTGGGGTGGGAGACTGGGGATGTGGAGAGTGGAGATGGGGAAGCACCAGAGTCAGATGGTGAGCCAAGGGCGGCCCTGTCTTCGGCGTGTGCCATAAGGGTGGGCGGGGAAGAGGGAAAGTTTGGGGGGGGGGTTTGCGCTGTGCCACTTAGGACGCTGAGCCTCCACTTTGCTCCCATTCTAGGTGTGGGGAGTCACATTTTTCCATGAGCTCAGTTGAAGCAAGGATGGGACTTTTGAAAAGGACATTTCACTAAAAAGAAAAAGTGCCCACGCACAGGGCCAGGTGAATTTATGATGCCCGGGTTTGTCCCCCCAAGTTAACAAAAAGGACCCATCAGGCCCAAAAGAAGCTGCAAGGGACGTGTTGAGATAACCTTAAGAATGCTTTTATTCCAGAGGACAGAGACTTAAACAGTTCTAATGAAGGGAGGCAGCAGTGTTTCAGGTTTAGGAAAGAGACAATAAATAGGTGGTAGCTGGTGATGATTTCCATACACGGTTCAACCTCTGAGCGTGAGCTGGGGTGTGGGGTTCACCTCAGACTGGGAACCTGCAGAGGAATGGCTCTAAAGGATGTTACAGCTGCCATCTTGCTTGTGACAGGGCCTGGGCCTCAGAGGTGTCCGAGTTGGTGCCTAATGGAGTATCTGAGGGCAAAGAAGGATTCAGAGCATCAGTGTGGTGTGATGTTCACTGACTGTAAGTCCACAGGTAAAATCACTTGTCAGCGCAGAATGTGTTAGAACCTGATGAATTAAAGCTTTGAGTCTGAGAAATAAAGACATATTTTTAAAAAGAAAAAAAAAAAAAGCTAGTCCCCAGGTCCCTCAAGGCATTCCTGGGCATACCAAGCCCATGCCCTTGGGGGCGTCTGTGCCCACTACCTCAGTTCCTTTCCAAGGCTGGCACTCTCACTCCCACTCAGACAGCTCCTACCATTTCCAGTTAGGGTCTGGACCCCAGGGTGCCTCACCCCTAGTTTCCTTTGGAAAGCCTCCAGCCGAACCAGGACCCGCGGGGCCTCCTGTGGGCACAGCATCTGGATCTCCCTGGGCCCCATGTGAAGCAGCTGACTTCCGGTCAGGGACCCGAGAGCCTTCACCGTGCTGGCAACAAAAACATCAGACTGTTAGTGGGGAGCAGAAGGACTTGGGTGGGCCTGAGGAACTCTAGGGGCCAGGAAGTTGAGGTTCCAGAATGCAGGGATTAGGGAATCGAGAGGTCAAGGAGTAAAAGGAGCATCTTGCGTTCAACTGATTTCACAGCTCGCAGGTGGGAGCTTGCGGGAAGGGTGACTGGCAGTCGAGGGCCCCCTCCAGAGCCCTACTGCCTTCCCGAGGCAGGGCTCCCTGCTTTATACTCTGACCGAGGCAGGGACATGCCCCCTGGTCTTCCCCCTTGACTGGAGGGAGGCAGCATCTGTGGGTCGGTCTTGTACTGTGTGGCTCAGTGTTGTGTTCTGGGTCTCTGGGCTTTCGGGGTTGATACCTGAATACCTGAGCCCTTTACAGAGGTTCCCCTGACACAGTCCACGGGGGTGGGGAGGCACTCACGCCGGGGAGAAGTTCTGTGACTGCAGCCATGCTGTGACCTCCGCAGGCTTGGAGCTAAGTCTCAGGTTCACACCCTAGAATCAAGGGGACCCGGAGGGGGGGTGAGAGACCTTCTCGTCCCCGAGTCACCCCACCCTCTGGTCCCCTTCTCTGGGCTCCCATCAAGTCACGCATCCCACTCCGTGGTTTGCTTGTGTGGCAGGTTGGGTGCCGATTCTCTGTCCTGGCCCATGGTGAACTTGGCGCAAGGCAGGTGTGTGATAACTTGGATTAAGTCAAACCAGGGCTCTCTCCTTCACTTGTCATGGAGCCCTCCCGCTCCCGCCTCCCCTTCAGGCCTCCTAGCTCCGGCTGGTCCAGGCTGGGTAGTACCAGTTGGGGTGTCGTCGACGGGGAGGAGCGGAGGGGTTCCAGGATGTTGCTGGGAATGTAGCCTTGGTGTCCTGTGTCCTTCTTCACCAGCCACCACCGCTTGCTCTGGTCCAGAACCTGCCACGAGTCCCCGCCTCTGTTGCGTCTGGCCTTCCTCCACCCCAACAGGGTTTCTCCCCCGCGGCCCTCCCCTCTCTGGGTCACCCAGCCTGGCAGCCCAGCCCCAGGCCCACACCAGCCACCCAGAATGCAGCCAGCACCGCTCCCTGGCTCACAGCCGCGTCTCACCTCCAGCACCTCTCCCTGCTGCACTGTGAGCTCCTGCGCATTCCTGGCCTCAAACTCATAGAGGACTTGCATTTTCAGGGCTGGGCTGACAGGTTCGGGACTGGAGGGCCTGACAGCGTGCTCCCCAGGGCCCCCGCTGTAGGGCTCCTCGTGAGCAAAGCGGGAGATGCTCCCAGACCTAGATCTTCCCCCCCGCCCCGAGACAGTCAAGATGACCGGACAGTGGGCCCTCAGGGAGGGAGCCCCCGTCCGGCCCCAGAGCCCCAGATATCTCCCACCTAGAGGTAGTCACTTTTGGGTTTCCTGAGATCAAGGGCCGGTCAGTATTATGTGGGGCTTGGGTTGGTGGGTGGGTGGGGGAGCTGTTTCTGTAGGCAGGAGGGATCTGAAATGTGCCTGATGTCCAAGAGTCTTCCAGAAAGTGGACTCTTGTACATATGAACTCTCCTGAGTGTTTTCTAGCTGAGCTCTGGGAAATCAGAGGCATGTGTGGGCAGTGGCGGGAGGAGAAGCGGTCGGAGACGAAGGGTAAAAGCTGCTCCTTCCTCCAAGGTCGGGGAGGGGCGGGTGTGTGTATGGCTGCGAGAGAGCCAGCAGGTCTGCGGGGTGCGGCTGCCAGGGACTCCCAGGACCAGTCCCTGCGCCCTCCCTAGGGCTTACCTGGGGTGGCTGTAGTCCTGGTATCCCGAGGGCTCCTGTCGGCACAGAACAGAGGGTGAATGCGTGCAGGAAGACAGCCGGCAGGGGCAGGGTGTGGGAAGCTGGCGTACGGGACCACAGACCCATGGCATCCTGCTACCAGGTGTCCCCTCCCCCCCTGCCCTTCATGCAGACCCAGGTGCCCTGCTGAACCCCCCTGCTGCTGAGTTACATGTAATTCCGGTGGGGACCGGGAGGGCGGAAACTAACTAGGGGCCTGCTTTGAGCAGGTCTGTGGCCTGAGCCGCCCTACCTGGTTGGCGGGCTCCGGGGGCTGCCAGCCATCAGAGAACAGGGGTTGGTAAGGCGGGGGCTCACTGCCCATCCAGTTGGCCCTGAGGAGAGAACAAAGCTGAGTGCACTGTGTGCCCGGCTGTGGGCAGGGAGGAGGTGACAGGGCTGAGCCTCGGGGATATTCTCGGTAATGGAGGGTAATGCCCTGGTGAAAGGCCTCAGAACACCCCCACCCCCACCCCCCACCACCATGGAGAGCAAATCGAAAGCATGAGCCGCGCACAAGGCCACCACGCAGGCTGCAGGCACGACACTGCCACGAAGTGCTGCGTCGGGCACCGGCGTGGCCAGCACTCTCGTGGGGTTTCAATTAAAGTGGCAGAACCACAGGCCCTGTGGGGGTCTCCTGCATGTCTGTTAGATTTGCTTTTCGTCCCCCAGAAGCAGAGTCCAGCCTAAGCAGTGTGTGCAGCTGCATTTTGGGGTCACAGCTGAGTGACTCTGGTTGACTCTTGGGTGGGGTGGGGTTGGCACTTGCCTCTCAGCCTTGGGGGACCCAGGACCAGGAAAGGGGGTGCTCTAGTGGACTCCAGGCTTGTGCGGCTTGGAATGCTCCCCACTAGGAAATCTGGGGGTTCCCATTCACCCTCCTGCCTCCCAGACACAGTTGAATAGTTCTACTTGTACACTACAGCTGAACTTGGGGTCCCTGGGTTATGGCGCCCCTCACATGGCCGTCTCTTACTATTAGTATACTGAACCTGAGAGTGATGTCCTGGGCACAGTGGTCATTCCTAGGGAGGACTGATACACGTTTACTCAATGGGCACGCGAACATTATTCCTTGTTCTGAATCTTTTTAATTGGCTCCTTCTCTTTGCCCTGGCACAGCCTAACACGCTCAAGCCTTCCCTCGGCACCATTCCTAATTCCTTTTTTAATTTTTAAGATCATTTATTTATACATACAAGGACTGGGGTACAGGCCGGAGATGCAGGGCTGAGAGGATTCACCAGAGACAGAGTGGGGAGCAAAACAGGCTGACTGAAGAAGTACACCGCTGAGGGGAGCAGCGGGCGGGTCAGGAGAGGTCTGCCGGCCCTGTGGGTCACTCCCTGGGGGGTTGAACCCCTGCTGCGGCTGACCTTCGCTAACTTGCTAACTTCGTAATGCTGCACTTCAACTGCTTGTGAGCCAGGGAGGGCCCCGGCCTGTCTTTCTAAACCCCTCTTCGCTCTTGGTTTTCCGATCCCTGCTTTATAGTTTCTCTTTCGAGCTTTCTGGGATTTCTCCTTGTCTCCTTGGCCCTCTTCCCACTCACCATCTAGCTACCTGCAGAAGTTCCCCAGAAGCTCCCCTCTCCTGGGGGACAGTGCTTGTTACCTGGAGTTCCAGAACTATCCACCAGTGTACTCGCCTCTAGGGGATCCATTTCTCACTCCCCTGCCTCTGATTCTCCAAGTGCAGTCAGGTGGGCCCCTGAACTTGAGGGTCTGCACCCCCTCAGGGAAATGTCCTACCCGGCCCCGCCCAGCTCTGCCTGGTAGCTCTTATCAACTTGACCTTGTCCGACTGCCCAGCTTACGACCATCCGGGCTTGGGGAATCTCTTCTCTCTACACTGGCTGCCAAGTCTTACTGATGCTACATTCGCAGCATCTCTTTTCTCGTCAGTAATTCTTAAACTTTGGGCTGAATGGAGACAAAGTTTTTACTTTGTTCTTGATGCAAAGGGAAGATATTTCAGTAGAATGTTGCCGACCCTTTTCTTGGGAAGAACCGGTCTTTTGTTCTGAGGTAATGCCTTGCCTTTGGCAGTCTCTAACCGAGGTCATCTGTGGCCCTTGAAAAAATACCCCACGTTTCTTTAAATGCGGCTATTGACAAAACAAAACAAAACACCTGCTTGTACTTAGTCTAATAAAGAGCTGAGGAGCCCGATGGAGAGACCTTTGGTTGCTTTGGGTCATTTCTGGTTGGCGAGGATGGACTGTGCCCCACCCAGTGTCTGCCCCTTGCCCAGGGCTCAGCTCAGGCTTGCACTCACCGGCTGGTGGTCCAGGCCATGCCCAGCCCCATCCAGAGTGTAGTCTCAGGTGGGCTGAGACAGCTCTGCAGCAGGTCGATGGCTTTGGGGGTGAGGAGGGGTGAGATCACTTGGGCTGCCAGGGCAGGCTCGGGGCACTGGGCCAGGATCTAGGTGAGGGATGGAAGCTGTCATGAAGCCTGGGCTCCCCTGGGCCCGGCGGGCATCGGAAAGCCGGGGTGCTCTTGGCCTGCCCTTTTGCAAGCGGCCCCAGGCCTGCTATTCCTTCGTAATTCCCCTGGAGGCCTGGTGTTCTTGACGCTAACTCCCGCCTCCCACCCCCAGTCCATCTAGCTGGCTAAGGGGTACTGTGCATAGTGGTGGTTGGTGTCCTGGGGTCCACAGTACATTGGGTGAGCAAGGGGAAGCCCCCCCACAGCTTCTCTCTGCTTTCTGCCTTCCAGGGTCTCTGCTCCTTCATTTCAGCCTCTCCCTCTTTACCACCTGCCTCCCCATCTTACCTTGTCCAGAGTCTGGAAGATAATGTGCACGAACTCGGGGGCAGTTATATCCTTCAGCTTGCTGGCCAGCTTTCCCTGGGGGCACAGGGTGGCACCATCACCGCCCATCCTTCCTCCCGCGCCCCTCCCACCTTCAGAGAATCACAGAGTCCCATAATTGTTCTGGACCTTGCTTAGTTGGGGGTCTGGAACTTTCTAAAGTTCCAGGATGGGGAGGGAAAGGTTGGAGAAGTCGTGCCTGAGACCTGAGAAGAGGGGTTGCCTGGGTGGGGGGTGGAAGGGAGATGGAGAGGGCTGGGGGGTTGCCTGGGTGGGGGGTGGAAGGGAGATGGGTACCAGAAGGTTGAAGCTGTATTTGATCTTCTGAAAGCACTCAACGTACTCTGCCTCTGTTATCCCTGGGGAGAAGGGGAGAGGGTGGCGGGTCACAGGTCATCCCAAGACACCCTTCCTCCGTTCTTCTCCCCTGGCTCTCATGACTCACCCCCCTGTTCCTTGTTCTTTTTCTTTCCCATCTTCTTCTTCTTTTTCTTCTGATTGGTTTCTTCCTGGGTATTCAGCTTCTTCATGAACAGCTCGATGTCATCTAGGACATGGTTCAGCACCTCCTAGGCTCCAACAACCGTGGCCTTGAGCGGTCAGTCAGGCCCACCTTGGAACTCCCACCCCTGGCCTGCCCCTGCACGAGCCCAAGCTCAGGCCCCACCCGGGTCTCACCAACCTCCTTTTCCCTCCTCAGCCCACGGCCTGCCTGGGTCATGCAGGAACTGGGCCTCTGAGGGGTGGGGGTGAGTGTGTCCCCTTCTGCCAGGCCCAGAAAGCCTCAGCCGGCCCAGTTACCTCATCCCCCTCTGGGTCCTCAGGGGCTTGGGGCCTGTTTGGAGGAGAAATGCTTGATTCTTGGGCACTGGAGTGGCGTGACCGGGGTCCTGGGGATGATGAGATGTCTAGAATATAAACGGGACATGGTCCAGACACTCTTTGATCTAAGCCTTCTTCTCCCACCTGCCCCCACACTCCAGACTTACTGCTCTGGAAACTCATCCTGTAGGGCTGTTCTGGAGGGGGCATCTGTTCCGGGGGGGTACCCCACTGTGAGTTCATCCTGTAGGGCTGTTCTGGAGGGGGCATCTGT